CGTGTGAGATGCGGTATCTATGTCAACAGGAGAAGCTCTACACCCGTGTTAGGTTAGTATAACTACATCACTAAGGGGATGGATTTATAACTACATCGCTCAGGGGTGTGAAATTGATGTACGTTTGTAGCTGTAGTGGCTCCAATCTCTGTCAGGTAAAATACATAGCAATAACATCAACTAACTAAATAGACTTAAGAAGTCATACAGCTTTTGGAAGAAAAACTATTATGGAGAACATCTGCTAACTTACAAAAATGGACAGACCCTTTATGTCTGGTCCTTTTCCATCCTACAGATTTCTCATCTAATAAAAGGTGTCAAATCATAGACTATCACTGTTCAGTCAGATGTTAAAATTATAGTTATAATCATGTCAAATCACCTCAATTAAGGCTCCTATTTTTCCAAGTTTAATTGTTTTCTTGTCCATTTTATGTCCAAATTTATTTCCAGCTCAAATTTTATGATCTGTAACATTGAATCTTGAAATAAAGAATATAAGCAACTATAGAGAAGTCAGAAAAGACTCCAATATTTCCAGCGGCTTCTCTTGCTATTTTCATATATGCCAGACATCTTTATTTTCCTTCTTGAAAAAGCAAAATATTTCATTTCTAATCTGTCCTTCTAAACTCATATCCTGGTCTCAGCATTAGGAGTGAAAATGTGTGTTCCCATTTTATCCTGAATATTTTTTAAAATAGCTTTTACAGAAGGTACTACTAAATGTAAAATAGGGAATAAGCAAAAAAGTTCATTTTCCATGTCTATGAAATATAGCTAGTATGTTGTTTCCTAGCATAGGAACATTTATTCTTTATCAACACACATCAATGTCTGATGCGCAAGACAATTCAAGATCCATGGGGCCCTATTATTCTCTCAAAAGAAAAAAAATTCCAAATGAAGTAAAGGTAGTAAGACAAAAAGGAAACAATTGAGCCTCTGTTGATTTGCTCTAAGATTTTCATTACTAATTTTCTGAATTACATCTGTTAAAATTAAACGTGTAGCTCCACTCACTCATTCAGAAATGGAGCATTTTATGCTACCAGCCCCTTCACTGGAGTTATACAATATTCCACCTAATATTTTGCTAACAAATTCAAAAGTGTATTTTTAAATCACTTTAAAAAGGCTGCATAACCTTATTACATTTCAATTAAAATACCACCCCCCTCTAATTTTTTAAAGGAAATCTTGCCATTACCCAACCAATGAAGCATATGACATCTTCAAGTCCTGTATTTCTATATGGAATTAAAGTAATGGAAAGTACTGATACCGTTGGTGGGGATGGATAGAATAGTTACCATAGATATGAAAAATAACTATATATTGAATTAAGATTAGACAGGTCTCTGGAGACATTGGATATAACAGCCGAAGAAGAAAGATTAGCCACATCATGCTTTACTGACTAATGGTTGCCTGATTATACATAAATTGCATCACCTATGAACCTAGGTCTACACTACCGCGCGGGGTCGATCTAAGATATGCAACTTCAAGTACATGAATAGCATAGCTGAAGTCGATGTACTTAGATCCACTTACCGCGGTGTCTTCACTGTGGTAAATTGACAGCTGACACTCTCCTGTCGACTCCACTTGCACTTCTCGTTCTGGTGGAGCACCGGAGTCTACAGGAGAGTGCTCAGTGGTCAATTTATTGCGTCTAGTATAGATCGACCCCCGCTGGATCGATTGCTGCCCGCCGTTCCGGCGGGTAGTATAAACAAGCCCTTTGATTCCTAATGGAGGCTCTGGTAATTCTTTCTTCATAATTTCCAACCTCCTCAAAGCATAATGAAAATTCTGTGTACTGAACTGTGCCAAAAAAACAAGATTAGAAGTGAGAGTAAAGAGCAATAAAACAGAAAATCTGATTATTGGCCATGACCAGGAAGACAGTGAAACGAAATTCTTACAAGGTCATGTTGGAGGGAGAGGGAAAGGTGATCTTGGCAGGTCACAGCAAGGCAGTTGTCATTCTCTACTGAATATTATAAAACAGGTAGTTTGCCTATAGCAGACACTTAGTAACTTCCCTAGTTGGAACCCTGTTTATAAAACTTTCCCATGGTTCATAAAGCTCTCCAAACATAAGAAGCATGGTATAACTGTCAATTAAGGATAATATAATTGTTTACTTATGCCCTGTCTTACATCCAAAATATATTAAACCACTGAAATGTAACTATCCTTTCAATTAAGGACAGCAGCCAGCAGGTGGAGAACATCAAGAGTGCATAACAAAGACAAGATGATATTTCTGACCAAAGGCACTGGGGATTATTCAAAGTTTTATTAAAAGCATTCATGATATCTGACCATTCATGAAGAACAGAGAGAAATTGGTTTTTATGTTCTCCACTGAAAGAGCCACACACAGTAAACTGCATGGGATGTGGAATGAATCTGAAGGGCCAAAATCCAGGAATGTGTATGTAAGATCTTAACTACAGTTTCTGTTAAGAACTTTTCATATAGGCCCAGAGTCCTCAGCTTGGTCTGGGGCATGAGGGCTAGCTAACAAAGAACAATACATGGCTAAGAGAAACCTGGGGGAGACAGACAACTTTGCGTGTTTCAAGTTGATGAGCGGAGTCAGCAGGACTCCAGATGGTGAGCCGTAATTGGGTGTCCTTATCGCAAGTTATACACACACAAAGCACTGAGAAGGGACCCCAAATTAACTCCCTGGTGCAGGAAGGAGATAGTGATACAATATCCCTCAGATGCCAGACAGAGTTCAGGGAGAGGCTTAACATGATTGACACAAGTCATCACACTCTCCCCTCACAACAGATGTATGCCAATCCCAGGCCACAGAAATACAAGGGTAAAACTATAAACTATTGTTATTGTTAAATATTAATTACTGCTTCTTTGCTTTTAATCTACAGGAATATACCTGTTGGTCAACCGGAAGAGCTGCTACCTCATTTCCCCTGGAGCCCAAAATTAGGATTTAACCTATATATTTTAATAGGAATAGTTTCAGGGTAATTACCTGTGTGTTAGCAATATGTTAATTTAAGGCATGGGCAGAGCCATTATGTAATCTTTTAAACCATTAGCTTATTGTGCTTATCTTGTCTTGCTGCTAGAACCTATCCAGGGGCTTGGGACCTCCCACCCCGTCGCTTCTCTCCGCCCTCTGAGCACCCTATATAATCTATTGTAATCAATTATTTTGCAGTGTCTCTGAACCTAATAAGCAAAGTGACACTCTGCCAGCGCTGTGCGTAATAAACCCTTGTGCTTGACTCTACATGGTGTCCATTTCTGTTCCTTCAGAATCCCAACAACACTACTGCAAAATAAGTATTTTACAAACAGGAAAAAATGAGACATAGCTATATTAATTGACTTGCCTAAAGTATGCCCAGTGACAGAGCTAGGAACAGAACCTTAACATCTAACTCTCAGTAAACCATAGTCTCATATCACTTATGTAATCCACAATATACTCTAAGATTTAAATGTGTGTAGGTATTCATATTTTAAATCTTTTCAAATGTCTCTACTGAGGGTGAGTTTAAGGAGCTGTTATGCTACTTCATTCATTCTTGTACTATATGAAGCAAAAGAGTGCAAGTGTATAAAATCATAGTTGTAGTCAGAAAAGTTTGTATACAAAATGATGCCTTTGGAGTCAGCAGATCTGTTCTCTGTCTGCATTCTAAATGACAAGGCCCCATGTATTTTGTGGCTATACTCATCCTTTGCCACAGAATTGTCTTCCAGAATTTAAGCTTTCATTTACAAAATAATGCCTCTAATGCAAAAAGAACCTTAAAACTATAACCCAAGCGTTAATCAAAACAGTACTAACTTCCTGAGCCTGCAGACAGTCTGAAACAGTAACTCAGAGGAGCATTAACTGTCATTTGATAGATTTAAGACTAACGGAAGTATTGGGAGCATAAGCTTTCGTGGGTAAGAACCTCACTTCTTCAGATGCAAGACATCTTCTTCTTGCATCTGAAGAAGTGAGGTTCTTACCCACGAAAGCATATGCTCCCAATACTTCTGTTAGTCTGAAAGGTGCCACAGGACCCTCTGTTGCTTTTTTACAGATTCAGACTAACACGGCTACCCCTCTGATACTTGATAGATTGTTAGCCCTGAAATGTGAAGTTTAATAACATAAACCGTGAGCGTTTAACTATTTCACTACTCATCGTTTAACCTTAAACATACACCTAACGTGTTTATCTCTATAGTTCTCACACGTGTTTATCTCGGTTCTCACACAGCCCCAGCTGCTTAAAGCGTCAAAGTCTACAGCTTCCCCAGATAACTCCCATTATGTCGCTGGGCACTGGTGGTACAAAGACATTCTGCTGATCACTGAGTAGCGTGAAACAAACACCACAGCAACACGGGGGCTGCCCTAACGGCGACCGACTTTCACGCTTCATCCGGAGCCTGCGTTGTCTGACGAAAGGGAAGCTGCTGCGGAGCCTGCACGGCAGCACCCAGGTCCCTGCGGCAGGAGGCAGGGCAGACTAGGCGCCGCCTGCCCCGCGAGCACCAGGCTCTGCCAGCAACAATGCCCGCAGCACGCGCCTGCTGCCGTTCCGGGCGGGCCAGCGCAGCGGGGAGGGAGCCGGAGCCCAGGCCCTCTGGCGCAGCATCGGCTGAGCGGAGCGCTCCTAACCGACAGCGCAGCCACCGAGAAAGCGGCCTGCAGAGCCCGGATCACCGGGGAAGGCCAGAGCCCGTCACAAGGCGCAGGGCCGGGCTCGGTAACTACCGGCCCCACGATGCCCACAGTGCAGTCACCTCCGAGGGCAGAGCCGGCCACTACCCTCGCGAAACTGCTCCGGGGGGGGGGGGGAAATGTGCGCGGCCCAGGGCGGGGCTGAGCCCGGCTCGCGGCTCCGCGCGCACATACGGGAGGGGGGAAAAGGAACAACGGCGGTCCCGTCGCGTTCTGCCCCGCGCATCAGCACAAGAGAATACGGCCCGACCCGAGAAAAACTCACATGAACCGGGGGAAGCCGGAGCCGAGGTCACCGCCTCCGCCGCAGCGCCCGGATTAGGCGCGAGAGAAAGGACCCTTCAGGGCTGCCCTGAAGAACGCCTGCTATTGAAATAGATTGTGCAACCGTAGCTCCCCTAATGAGCCATTTACACAAGTTACATACCCTCCGCAAAGAGCCCGCGTCTGTACCCTGAATTCGCACGGGGAGAACCTCACTTTACAAATAATTACAGTTGTTAGGCATCAGCGGTGTCACCCTCTTTCCCGGCAACAGAACACGGGGTCCTTTTCCTAGCGCCGGCGCTTAGTGATGAGGTAAGAGACGCGCGGGGGGGCCAACCAGTTCTGCGGCACCTGTTCGCGCACAGGGGGTGGGCTCTCGCGCTCGGGAGGCGGCGGCGTCCTCGTAAAGGGTCGGGGAGTTTCGGAGGCACACAGCAATGTTTGGAGTAGCAACGGCGGCGCGAGGGCCCCTGTAGGTGGCTCGTGCCTCACGCCCAGCAGCTGTAGCAGGTACCCACCCTTGTGCCCTGCTGCTCCCCGCGCGCCGTACTCCCCGGGGAGGAGGGTCCTTGCAACCACTGCCTTGCTGGGCCCCGCGCGCCGTAACCCTGGGTGGTGTTTTTGCAGCCAGACTCTCATGCGCCCTGTACGCAATATTCTAGTGCCTCTTCACCTAAGCTGTCCACCTTCTGATCCCTTTTTTCCCTTTCCCCAATTAAAATGAATAAAATTATGTTCCTTGGAGAAAGAAAAGCCCATCGTCTTCCTGAGAGCCAGTGCAGGATTCTTCCTTGCAAGATATTGCTGTTTCAGTGCTTTTCAGACTGATGCCTTTAGAGCACTTCTGTATGGCCCCCAAACTGCGAATCTTATCAGTCTTTCAAGAAGTGATTCTTTTTGCTAATTGCTTCAAGGACTGAGAACTCCACCTGCTAGAGGTGAGGGGGAAACCATCGGGTGAGTGTGGAGGCCAATGCATTAATTTTTGCAAAACTAACAAAAAGAAGTTTCCGATCATTATCATTAGGAAGATATTATCACTTCATGGTAAGAAGTTTAAGTGTGTGGTGAGCTGCTTTCCTGAGTCTGCAGATAGAGAGCTACAGAGACTCTATTGCTCTTGGTAGCTTTGCCAAGTAGGCGCAGAGTAAATTTACGTCTCTCTGTCACTTTCTCTTCTGCTTTTCAAAACCCTAGGAAGCATAGTGAAACCGATAAGAGTCAAGTCAATTAATGCGGTTGCATGGTAATCTTTGAGCAAGGGCCGAGATGGAATCCAACCATTTATGGGTGAGGACCCCAAAATGACAGCATGGAGTAGAGGATAGTTTGGGGGAGTAGCAGAGTAGTGGATTCTTAGCTGCCAAGGAGGATGAAAGGGCAGAGCGCTTCTTCCTTCCAGCAGTCTATAATAAGGGGAGAGGCATAAAATTTATCACCCAACAGTTACCTAAACAAAGATAGAGCCGCCCCATCAGGGTCTTGGGAAAACAATATTTCCATCGCCCATTTTCTCGGGGTGAGACTACCTTCTCACAATGTGTTGCCTTTGGCTCTTCTGCTGGGCCTACTCTCAAATTTCCTATCTGCTGCTGGCTAGTAGGTAACGGATAAGTGTATCAGGTCCTCGCCCAGTCTGAGACTTGCAAGCTTTCCAGCAGCAGTTCAACAAACTAATTAAAATAAATCTTCACCCTGGGAAGCTGCTTCATGTCTTTTATTCCCTGAATATTTGCGGATGATGTTTAAATTGAAGGGGTAGCAAATATACAGGACAACAGAACTTTTTAAGTGCAAAGTAACCTGGAGATAGTAAAGCATGCCTTGCTGCAATGAGAATGCCAATATTGAGCCATGAACCCAGGAGAGAAGAAACAAATATTGTGCATTCAGAATTGAGGGAAGTGATCAAGCAGCTGCATCCAACATATTAAAATTAGATTATTTTTATGTTGTTTTCTTAATAGTGTCCAAATATTACTTTTCTTTTAACAAAATGCCATAGTTGTAACTAAGGAATTGAGACCATGGGTGTCCACAAGAGGATCTTGATGATCTGAAATATGAAAATGTTTGATTTAAAAACCAAACAAAAAACCTCAATCTTCTAGTAGTCTGTTTTAGTTTTAACCTTTATAGAAGAAGGGGCTTTAATTACTTCTTTTAGAAGACTATCTCACTTTCTTCCATGCCTGGATTTTGTTATTAGAAAGAGTGAGGCTAACATGTACATACAGCAAACATAACAATTTCCGATTAATCTTTTCCCACTTTCGCTTCCTCCTCCCAATAAGTGATGGTGTCTGCATAGTTTCTTGCTTTCACTGTTTTACAAGTTGCATTGTTCTATAATGAAAATAATGGGCACCCTGGGATGTGAATGGGCAGTAGACATGAACATGTTTAGCTCTTCTGTATGATATAAATAAGCCTCTTCCTCAGTTCTTTTTCAGTCTGAGCTGAGACCTAGTTGTTGGATTGTCCTCAAGGACTCACCAAATACAGTCTTTTTACATAATTTTTTCTTTAATGAACAAACCACATCTGAGATTTGTCAACAATTATTTTTGCAAAATCTAATGCACAAAAATTAGAATTGGGGGGAAAAACAAAATTGGAAGTAAAATCAAGAGGAATTCTTGAAAATTACAGGCAGGTGTCTTACTTATTGTAGAGTGAATATAACTGAAATGTGAAATAAACAAAGTACGACTACAGTATTTAAGTGGAGGACTTATAAGATTTATGTCTGCTAAACTTAATGAATTATACAATAAATCTATTACTATCATTGTACAATAAGTTTGACAAATCCAGTATATTTCTGTAAAACTGATTCCACTTTTCTTTTTTCTTAAATCCACCTAAAATATTAAAATATGTAGGTGCTTATATTTGGTTCCTCAACTAGTTTGGATAGCGGTTTTGTACTTGTAGAAGGATTGCTTCTCATTTCAAAGATCATCTGGATAGCCAAGGAACTTTTTAAAAGAGGAAGTAAGCATATTTAAGCATACTTAAATGCTATCACATTTTCATTCTCAAGAAAAATCTTTACAGTGGGAAGTTCTTGGTCAGAATCGCACACTTAATTACATTCAGATTTCTGAAACTTTTGGTAAAAGCGTTTTAATGGAAACAATACTGCTTCACTAAAGTTTACATTGTGTAATTCCATTTAAGTATATCTAACCAGTTTACAAAGAGGTAGAAAAATGTCAAGATAGTAATTTAAGTGTTTGTATGATACATTTGACCACCAGAGCCCAATTCACTGCCTTTTATGTCCAAAGAGGCTCTTCTGTATCTCTTGTACTTTTAGTACGTTATTGAAACTGAGTTTTGTCCAGCCTGTTAACTATTTTGCATATTTTTATTATGAATACCAATTTTAAATGAGTGGTTCCCAAACTGAGGGTTATGGAGTGCTTGCTCATGGTCATTGATAGCTGATTGATCACATGGTCTGGTTTTCCTTTTTTACTTCCAGCTGCTACATTTTAATAAAGACAGCTAAAAATGCTTTTTTTCTTAATCTTGCTTTTTCTAAACTAGCAGTTGCTGTAGTTGCAGTGGGAATGTTAAGGGATTGGGAACAGAACAGAGGATGGTTCATGAAACAATTTCTATTAGGATATGGATTTGGTTAAAATAATCAACTACATTAGATACATTATTTAATTTCTCCTATTTTTTTTAATTATTACTTTAAAGGCAGGATTGTTTTAGTCTATTTTAATTCTGGAAAACTGCATGATTTAAATAAGAAACAAAGTACCTATATTTGCAAAATTTATAAACTTATATTTATATTTCCTTTTTCTATAATTAGAGGTGGACATTCTAGTTCTAATACCTACTACATTTGCTGAGGAAGACCTATTCATTCATGGTTTGTGCACTGAGAGGACTTTCCAGTGTAGGGCTTGAACCTGCAAACATTTATTGCCAGCTCTAATAATCACTAAATGGGACTACCCATGGTAGCGTGTGCTCTACCTGGTAATAAGTATTTGCAGGATTTGGCATTAAAAGAAAAAGGTACAGTGAGACCCATTAGTAGTGTTCACCTCACATATGAACTTCTTAAAAATATTAGGGTTGTAATAGGCTATTACTGGTGTTGGTTAGTGTTTGTGGGTCCTATAATGGAAGTGGGATTTTAAGATTTATTTGAATGGAAATCATGGAATTGGGAGTATGTTCTAGGTATGGGATGCAGCATGATTCACTTCTGAGACTAAAGTTTCTGTGCAAGAAACTTTCTTAGCGGGTGTGTTAGCCTATCATGCCTCTTTTCTACCTCAGATACTTAGCATATCATACCTGGAAGCAACTACATGGTCCTGCCATGCGGGCAGGGGACTGGACTCGATGACCTCTCGAGGTCCCTTCCAGTCCTAGAATCTATGAATCTACTTAATTTTTTGTCATTTTGAAAATGCCAAGGTACAAATATAGTCCTCTTCCTCCCCCCTCCCCCCACTACAGTTGTTTATTTAAAGTTTTATTCATGTCTAGTTGTATTGCAAAAAAAATTGATGCTTTGCTTATCATAATTGGTTCTTATAACTTATAGAATTGTTATATTTCTCCGTAGAAAAAAGGCTTTGTGTACAATCAAAACCAAACAAGCATGTGTGTCTATGGGGTGAATGGGTTGGTTTATATGTTAAGTTTCCAGTTCTGCAAGTACTTAGCACTGTTTAACTGTAAGTGTAAGACTGTGTGTAAGTGTAAGACTGTGTGGGTAAGTGTTTGCAGAATCAGGGCCTTAATTTATAGAAGACATACAGTTAAGTGTTGATATTGTGACTTGCTCCAAACAGGCAGACCCCTGCACTTTCACCTCTTTGAAGTCAGTGAGGTGCTAATGTCTATCTGTGTAGGATCAGGGCCAAATAAATGTACGCTTAACTGAAGAAATACAAAAAAAGTATATCTTGAAAAAAAAATCAGTTTTGGGTAATAGAAGAAAGCATTACTATAAAAACCTTAGTCTATGCTGTTTCTCATTTATTTTCTTAAGATAGCAACTACATAATGGCACAGAATATCTATCAGATTACTTCTGAATTTAGTATTTTTAATGCATTCATTTGTAGCAGAACAAATGCTTAATTCTGTCATATGTTTGTAGATTATATTTGCTGAGTACAACAACCTTGTTTAAAATTTAAACCAAAATGGCCAAATATCGTCTAATTTTTGTTGTTGCAAATCAGGATTTTCAAAATATGAAGAAACGTCAAATCTGAAACTTTAGTAAGAAGTTCCATTTCTTTTGTCAAACATCAAATTTCAGTGTGTAAAGTTAGGCAGTATTAGCTTAAATACAGCACACATTACCTAAACATTAAATATACAGCCCATATATTTGTTATATTTACACTCTAGTCAGTTATTTCTACATTCAGTGTATGTTTATTTTGATTTTTTGTTTTAACTCAGAGGGAGAGTGATTCACAAAAGGAAGCTGAGAAGCCCATGCTATGGACAAGGTGGCATTC